TTTTAATTAGTTTAGTTTTACTTATTGGATGAATGGAGGTTTTAAAATAACTATTTTAGCTAAAAAAATTTATTATTTATGAAAAAATATATATCTCTATGATAGTTATACCATTAAAATTTTGATTAGATTATTTATTTAGAAATATTTGAGGTACTATTAAATTTTTAATGGTTTGATTTTGAGTTTTAATTTTAAATGGGATTTTTAGAATTTAGAATTTTGAAAAATCCTTTTTATTAAAGTAAATAAGTTGGAGGATGTAAATAAATAATTTGAGTTATTAGAAAATTATAAGTTATTTCTAAAATGTTTAATTTTGGGTTATGAGAATTGTGAGAATTTAGAATAAAAATTAAATTAAATTAGGAATTTAACTAATATATAAGCTTAATTATTAATTAATTAGCTTATATTAATTTGTGGTTATATTAATTGTGTGGATTAATTATTGGTTGAGCAAAAGGTTGATCTTGTGGCAATCCTTTTTATTACTTTGACAAAAAGTTACCACTTTCCACTTATTATATATGCTAATATGTTATTTATGAGTATTTTGCTATTTTAAAATAATGATATGTTATTTGAAATTCGAGTAGATATGTTATACCTTTTGAGCTATGAAAATTATCTTACGGGAATTTTTGGAATTGTGATTGAGAAGTTTGAAAAAATATATGATTTATATCTTATAAATTATATTGAGAAAATATTGAGACATTTTTTGTTATATTGTGAATGATTAGTTGTTATTTGGATTTTGAATTGAACCCTATCCTACCATTTGGTAAGGCCACCATTGGTGCACATTGATTGGCTTCCTTCATCCCTCATTGTGAGGGACAAGCCTTTGTGGCTTTTTATTCATCTCCTAAAGTGAGAGATATGCTTATATGTCTGATTGATCTCCCATAGCGAAAGATAGACTTATGTGGCTTGTGTGTTAACTCCCATTATGAGGGTTTGGATGATTAAAATTATATTTATATGGATATATATATTTCTTGAGAATTAATAACTGTCGCATTTGACACTTTACGAGCATATGTTAATAGGTATGATAAGTTGGAAAGTTGGTTACTGCGGCATTTGTCTCACTCCGTGGTTGCTTCTATCTTCATGTGATAGTTCAGGTAGTGACCCATCAGAGAAGGCTTCGAAAGCATAGGGTGCTGCTATAACTTGTATAGCCTCCTGATTTTTGTTCTATTTGCCTAATTTGTTATATATTGCCACATAGGGCTCATCTACTCTAATATTGTAAATTAATACTTTTAATTACTACTATATGATATGAGAAGATTGTTAGAAGGCCAGATATTGATAAGACTCTACATGTGACACTTTTTTAAAGTGATGACTTTTGATTAATGGATCACATAGCTTATATTAAAATGATTTATTAGTTAGTATGTTTGAAAGTATAAGTTAGGTTTGAATTAATGGTTGAATGATGTTTCTGAACCTTGGAAGTCCAAAACCCAAGTTGATGATCGATATTGCTTGTGATATAAGTTTATTTCTTTTAATCATGATAGTGATTTTTAAATTTTAATATTTCTTCTTTTCTATCGTGACTAATCTTTTAAATAAATTGTTTGATTTAATTTAAATAGGTTTTGAAAGAATGGTCACACTTGTGAAGACGAGTGAGAGACAAGATGAATAGACAAACAGACCAGAGAAAATGAGTAGAACGAATAAAAGAAACAAACAATTAATTGGGGATAAAAACTTAAAAAAAGAAAAGGGGTTAAATTTTTAGACAAACACAAGGTATTGCTTAATGCCTAGACAGGGGACTAACCATATAAGAGAGAATGTTATTTATGTATGGAGCTGGACGGAGTGTTATATTATATAAGACCATTATCTAACATTTAGCCCCAAAAAAAATAGAATTCTAATATATAGGAAATTATTTTAAAATTTTGAAATCCTCCATGATAAATACCCATTTCAATGCTCGATATATAAATTAGTTGAGAACTTTGCTCTAATATTAAATGTAAAATTCCAAATTATTTTATTTTTCAAATTTATAATTTTCTTTTAAAATGTTCCTATTGGTTTCACGTGCCAAAACTTAAATACGCCCTTGATAACTCAAAATTCAAACCAATGGCTAATGCCTTGAAAAGAATTAACCCAGATTGGTGGATGGATTGTTGTGAATGATCGGATGTCTTGTAGCTGGTCCATGGATTATCGTCTTAATCGTCAGATCAGGCAAATGCCCCCACTTCCTGATATATGATTGGACTATTACTTTTAATCTCATATCAAAAGAAACCAATCGTTGTGTCAATTCTTTAGCTCGTCAAGGTTATCATCATAATTGTTCCTCCTACGAAGTATAAAGGAACTCTCTTTAAAAAATTTCAATTATAAAACTTTTTTGAGTTAGTTATTCTGTATGCATTTTCTGAGATTCTTTTTTTGGGGGGGGGGGGGACTCTAATCGAGTGGCCAAATTTGGTGTATAGACATTAAGATTTAAGTAGGGAGAGGTTGGACTGCGTAGTCAAAGTCATAAACTCATAATATTGAATAGATGTGAAAGAACATGAGCACATGGGTGAGGGACAATTCTGAAAAGTGACAATGAGACACAGCCAGGGCAATTATAGAGATGATGCAGCGCATTGCCTACTGTGTTTAAAAAGAAGGCGAGAGAGAATTTGCTTGGGTTGCGTCGAGAAGATCGAGAAGAATAGGCTAACTGTTTTATCTTGTTTTGGGTTTGGTTTCTTTTTTTCACAAAAAAAAAAGGGAGACGAGAGAGGAAAAAAAATCTCGAAAGAATAACTAAATTTTAAAATTTTAAATCAGAAATTATTATAAAAATGAGTACAAAACTCATTTTTCGAAACAAAAATGAACAGACGAGTAGAAAAGCTGGAAAGAGAATGGGAAATTCTCTCCGTATTCTTTATATATATATATATATATATATATATTTATAAGGACAAAACTCATTTTCTGTCGGATCCTTCATCTTTAATTTTTTTTTATATTCCAATAAAATTATTCACTTTTTTATTTTACAATGAAAAGCAACATTTTTCTCTAAATTATCTGGTTTTAAAATAAAGTAATATGAAAATATATCACCAACGGGGATTGATCCAAGTGGTAAGCGGCTTGGTACAGCTTAAGCGAGGTCTCGAGTTCGAGCCTTAGCGTATGCAGAAATCCCCGTTGGAAGACTCACCTACCACAGCCAGTCTAGCTGAATCTAGATGTAGTCAGAGCAAAGCTCTAGTAATATGAAAATATATCTTTATAAAATAATTTGATTTTAAATTATTTGATGATACTAATATTAATACTACATTCGTCCTTAATATAAGACCCAGTTAATTAATTTAAATTAATTAAGTAAATTATTTAAGTTAGTTATTTGTAATAAATAGGTGTTGCCATTACAATACTCATAAAGAAAGAGCCTTAATAAATGAAAGGAGGAGGCATCTTTCACCCAGTATCGAAGGCTTTGAATCAAGATTTCCAGATGGATAGGGTAGGGTATTTGTACATCTGACACATAATTTAAATATGGAAATTTTTCCTCAAAAAATTTCCATTAGGATCAAAATAAAAATCAAACCAGCTCTTACATTAAGAACCAGAATTAGGATAATTTTTTATTATAATATTTAAATTAATTTTAAACATGATATATTTTTACATAAAAAAGATATTTTGGTCATTCAAATATTTATTCATTTTTTTTATATTTTTTCGTTCATCCAAATGTGATAACATTTTTTTAATTTTTTCTTTTTCCATTATTTGTCCTCTCATTTTCTTTCTCATCGGAATGGAGCATAAAATTGATCTAGCATTTTAAAATATTCTTTCAAGTGTGTCAATATTTTAAATTATTTTTTCCAATAGCATTCAACACTTTAAAAATGATTTGTGATGAAATTATATTCTTAAAGTAATTATACCTTTAAACTATTTTTCAGGACATTAAAATTAAAAGCACATGAAAAATATTTCAGGGCGATCACTTTGGCATACGGGCATGGTGCAATGGCGCGTATTACATGGACGGTGGCAGTGGATGCCAGCTGTCACAGAAATGAGGCGCAGAAAGTTGTTCAACGGTCAATAGAAAAACAAAGATGTATATGAATGACGATAAAAAGGGAGTATCGACGTTGGCAACAAAAAAAAAGGGAGTATCGACGAAAAATTCAATGAAATAATTACTATAATGTTAATATTAATTAGGTTATGCAAAGTTAGCTTTTTGATTTAGAAAAGAGTGAAACGTACTGTAGTGGATGTTGTGTTTTTATTTCTTCCTAATTTTAAGAGGAAAATTTTAAATATTTATTATATAATTTTTTAAATAAAAACACATCTAATAAATTATAATAAAATAAAGAGGTTCTACTATCTATTTAAAATTCATTTCATACATATATTCATTATTTCACTTAAAACCATTAATATTAATGTAAAATTTAAATATATTAATTTTTATTTAATCAGTGTGTGCTGTGTTCCTTTCTTCTTCTTCTTTTCCCTTTACCTTGTATTGCAAGTTTCCACATTCCCTGTACCAAAACAATCAGGAAATTTGATATTTGGGACAATCTACGGCACATAAATTATTTATGACGTCAAAATTTGAAAATAACAACTGAAAATAAAGGTCACAGGAAAATGAGTGATTGTTTTGCGTAGACTCTTCCGCGAAAGAACAGAGATGTTGTTGTGTATGGCCTACCAATTTGAGAATACGCGTCCTTCTTGTTCTCCTTGCAATTACCATCATTTGTCTTTTTTTCAAGGGATATATGGGATTCAAATTATTAATCATATCTCTTCTTGCATATTTCCCGGAATGTTCCGAGGCACAAAGAAAGCAGATGTCAGCTAACTTCCTCTTTTAAGTGTTCCCTTGATCAATCTAAGCCAGCTTCACTCTATTATCGCTTGCTATCAAACTCTTTTCTCTCTCAATCGTCTCGTCCATCATCTAAAGTAATACCTTTGAGTTACCAGACACAACAAGGCATGGAGTTCGCTGCCAAGGTGGGGGAAGCACTTCTCTCTGCTTCTGTGCAGACCTTACTCGACCGGATCTCCTCAAGCGAGTTTCGAGATTTCATGAAAAATAGAAAGCTCAACGTCTCTCTGTTGGATGAGCTGAAGATTACCCTGTTGATGCTTGGTGCTGTCCTTAATGATGCAGAGGAGAAACAGATCACCCGTCCTGAGGTCAAGGAATGGCTTGAAGAGCTGAAAGATGCTATCTATGATGCAGAGGATTTGCTAGATGAGATCAACACTGAGTCTCTGAGATGCAAGGTGGAGCAAGATTCACAAAATGTGGCTAACAAGGTGCGATCCTTCTTTTCTTCTTCTTTTGGTCAATTTTACTGGGGGTTGAACTCCAAGCTAGAAGCAACATCTCGAAGGCTTGAACACTTTGCCAAACGAAAGGATATCCTTGGTTTGCAAAGTGTTAGCTTCAAAGCGCATAAAACACCCACAACATCAGTGGTAAATGAATCTGTTGTGGTTGGTAGAGAGGATGATAAGGAGAAACTATTGAAAATGCTTTTGTGTGATGGAGATCCGAATCCAACTGATGTAGGAGTGGTCACTATCTGGGGTATGGGTGGCCTGGGTAAAACTACCCTTGCTCAACTCCTCTATAATGATAAGAAGGTCCAGGAGCATTTTGATTTGAAGGCTTGGGCTTGTGTTTCAGATGATTTTAATATTCTGGAGGTGACCAAGAATCTTTTTGAGTCCATTACTAAAAAAGTCTACGATGGTAAAAATCTATACCTTCTTCGTGTTGAATTAAGAAATAGCCTGAGTAACAGAAGGTTTTTGATTGTGTTAGATGACTTATGGAATGAAAAATACAGTGATTGGGATGATCTCATAACTCCTTTTCACAATGGGAAAAGGGGAAGCAAGATCATCGTAACAACTCGCCAACCAAGGGTTGCTGAAATCACACATACATTTCCCGTACATAAATTGAGTCATCTCTCAGATGATAACTGTTGGTCTTTAATCTCCAAACATGCATTTGCAAATGTAGATTCAAACAAATATCCAGAGCTAGAAGCAATTGGAAGGAAAATTGCAAGAAAATGTGGTGGCCTCCCGATTGCTGCTAAAACAATGGGAGGTCTTTTGCGTTCAAAAGTGGATGCAAGGGAATGGAATAAAATTCTAAATAGCAACCAGTGGAATATACCAAATGATGATGTTATGCCTGCATTGCGTTTGAGTTATCTATATCTTCCATCACATTTGAAGAAATGTTTTGCTTATTGCTCGATTTTCCCAAAAGATGTTGTGCTAGAGAAAAGGAAATTGGCCTTGTTATGGATGGCTGAAGGCATTGTACAGCAACAATCCCATGGGGACAAGACATTTGAGATTGAAGCAGAAGACTGTTTCAATGAATTACTATCTAGGTCATTCTTTGAACAATATGGCGGTAATCCAAAAAAGTTTGTCATGCATGATCTCATTAATGATTTAGTGAAATTTGTATCTGGCAAGAGTTGCGTTCAATTTGAGGGAAATGAAGTCCCAAAATCTATACGACATTTATCATTTTCCCTAAAAGAATATAGTTGCTCTAAAGAATGTGAGAGCTTTTGCCATACAAATAGTTTGAGGACTCTTTTGTCGCAAAATGAATTCAAAGATTGGTCACCAATATGTATTTTGTCCAGAAAAGTGCTCCATGATTTGTTGACAAAACTGAAATGTCTAAGAGTATTGTCCTTACCAATGTACAAAAACATTGTTGAGGTACCAATTTCAATTGGTAATTTGCAACTTCTGCGGTATCTCAACCTTTCCCACACTTCAATCAAAAGGTTGCCTGATGTAGCCTTTACACTTTACAACTTGCAGACATTGCTTTTATCAAATTGTATGCATTTTATTGAATTGTCAGAAAAGATAGAAAAGCTTATTAATTTACGTCATCTGGACATTAGCGAAACTGCTTTGAATGAGATGCCCACACAAGTTACAAAACTGGAAAATCTTCAAAATTTGAGTACTTTTATCGTGGGCAAACAGCCGGATGGATTGGGAATTAAAGAGTTGAAAAGGCTCCCTCATCTACAAGGTAAACTTTCCATTTCAAATCTACAAAACGTTGTTGATTCTATGGATGCTTTGGAGGCGAACTTGAAGAATAGAGAAAAGTTTGAGGAACTAGTGTTGGAATGGGATTGTGATACTTCAGATTCACAAATTGTGAAAAGTGTACTCAACGTGTTGCAACCTTCTACAAATGTAAAGAAATTGACCATCAATAATTATGGAGGCACTAGCTTCCCTATTTGGGTGGGAGATTCATCATTTATAAATATCGCCAATTTATGTGTGCGTGATTGCAGTAACTGTGTTTTGCTCCCACCATTTGGAGAACTACCATCTCTCAAAGAGCTCTCGATTAGTGGAATGGGATTAGTGCATACAGTTGGACGTGAATTCTATTGTAGCAAACCTGAGTACTCTTCATTTCAACCATTTCCATCTTTGGAGATTCTCATATTTGTAAATATGCCTACTTGGGAGGAATGGATATTGTTTGATGGTGAAGGTGCCAAATTTCCTTTCCCTCAACTCAAAAGTTTGAGTGTGCATGATTGTCCTATGTTGAGGGGAGACATGCCCCACAACCTTCCATCATTGACAAAGGTTTCTGTAATAAAATGCAAACAATTGGAGGCAAAATCAACAGCTCTGCGGTGGATTCCATGTATCAAGGAATTAAGAATTGAGCAAGGGGAACATGGGTTATTTAGAGCACTTGATGATTTATCTCCGGACTCCTTGGAATCTCTAAGCATTAGGGGGTGTGATAGCTTGCAGTCTTTGCCAAGAATGATAGTGGGTAGCCATTGTCTTCGAAAGTTGTCTCTCCAATATATCCCATCAATAATGTCCTTCCCAATTGATGGTTTGCCTACTTCTTTGCAAGATCTTGAAATTTATAGTTGTGACAAATTAGAGTTCCTACCTCAGGATTCTTGGCAAAACTACACATCACTTGAATACTTGGGAATTGATAATAGTTGTCCTTCCTTGAAATCTTTTCCATTAGGTTGTTTTCCCAAGCTTAAAGAGCTTGATATTGCCAAATGTTGTAATTTGGAGACCTTTACACATGTTGGGAGGTCTGCTCTTCCCTTAGAATCATTTTCGGTCAACAGATGTAACAAACTTAGATCAATGTCAGATGTACACGTTGATTCCCTTGCCAACCTTCAACACTTTAGCCTAACTTTAGTTTCGAAGTTGGAATCATTGCCTCAAGGTGGTTTGCCTTCTAACTTGCGATCACTTATTCTTGGGGGCTGTAATGAACTATCTTCTATACCCATCCAAGACTGGGGGTTTCAACGCCTGACTTCCCTCTCACACCTTGATGTTATGGATAATGAAAGTGAAAGTGATATTATTCTCCATAATTTACAAAAGAATCAATTACTACCCACTTCTCTTGTGACTATCGGCATTGGTGGTGTCTCTAATCTTAAATTGTTAGAAGGAAAAGGGCTTCAACACCTTACTTCTCTTGAAGAGCTTTACTTCTGGAACTGTAAAAACCTTGAATCCTTGCCAGAAGATTCGCTGCCATCCTCTCTTTTGTTGTTGGAAATTGATGGCTGTCCAAAATTAGAAGAGAGATATGATTATGAGAAAGGGAAACACTTGTCCAAGATCGCTCATATTCCCACCATACGAATTAATAGGAAATACTATGATCCTTGAAATGGTGCATTATATTGCTTCAAAAGGTGAGCTCTCAAATTTCACAACATTTCAACATCATAGTATCTATTAATATATATACTCCTTTTCCTTTTTCTTTTTCACAATCCATATATCATATATTCCCTTCGTGATCATCGAATAGATATTAGCATGTTATGGGTACATCTTGCCAATGCCCCACGCATGCACGCACACAATCAAAAATTTGCTCACCCAGGAACATCATATCAATAATGCTTCCGCAATATTTTGTTTAAAAAAAAAAAAAACAGAGTCTTGTAAAACATTCTATTCAATTTTTCTTTTCCTACAATGACATGCTGTTTTAAGAAAAACAAAAAAAAAGTAGTGCTACTATGGTTACTTCTCATATTCGGCCAAATATTATTAAGATCTTATCAGATTTTTAATAAATAAATTTGAAAACATATATTTTTCCATTACCATATATGAGCATATGTTTGGTTGCGAATTGATTTCCATTTTCGTATTACTTCTTCACATTGCAGATTCTGAAGCTTTGTGGCAAAATTGGAACTCTGAAAGCACCAAAAGATTTTGAAGACCATCAAGGGCAAAGTGCCTTCAAAACGATCCTCTGCTTCAAATTCTCTGTTTTCCTATCATCAAAATGCTATCATCTTTTGTTTTATTCATCTCTAAGAGTTGATTCATCATCAGAAGCTTATGTGAGTATCAACTTTTATTTTTGCCCACTTGAAGAATTTCCACTTTGAAATATAATGTAATTTTGTTAAATTGATGCTTCCCCATTTTTATTATGTTAACTATTCAGATTTCTTATAATTTTCAAACAAGAATGATAAAAATTTTGCCGACTTCTACTGATATGCCTTTGTCGTTGAGGGTTTTGTGGCATCACCATCTCAAGATTAGTATTTCAAGGTATAGGATTAACTAGCCTAATTTACTTATTTCAATGTTTTTAATTCAACAAAATCATCATATGAAGCTTCAAACTAGTCAACAGAAAATATCTTTTTTAATTTTTATATTCACAGATTACTTGGAAAGCACGGAGGTATAATTTGACTGACAGGTTTTTTCTAAGATGTTGATTTTTTCTTTTTCCTTTTCTTTTCAGTGAAAAATTCCATAAGCAGAATATCATTGGATTTCAATAAACAGAGCAATGGCTAGATGTTTCTTGAAGATATCACATCTTAGGTAATGCATTTTGTTAAAACTAACCACCTTTTAATTATTCACAATGCACATATCATATATTCCCTTTGTGATCATCCAATCCATTTCAACATTTGAAAAAAAAAAAACACAGCCACACACAACTCTAAATCTCGTAAAACAATCGATTCAATGTTTCTTTTGCAACAAAGACATACTATTTTTTTTTTAAAAAAAAAGTGATACTATGGTATTTTTCGTCTAAAATTTACAATTATTGATTTCACCTACTTGTTATTGTAGATTTTCGAATGTATATGCAGTTCGTTATATGTTTATGTGTGTCTCTACCCTGTCTGTTCAAGTCTGATAAGTGAGAGAAAGTATTAGTGACTTCATTTTAAGGCAAGAAATCAACTACCAAGTCACAAAGATTTTGAACCATTCTTTCATGCTCAGGCTCAGTATAACAATTTAATACTAAAAATAAAAAGGAAGTTTGAAAAATTCTTTTCATATTTGCCCAAAAATTATTAATATCTTATCAGATTTTTAATCAATACAATTGAAAACATATATTTTTTCCATTGCCATATGTGACCATGTGTTTGGTTGCAAATTGACTTCTATTTTGGTGTTACGTATTCACATTGCAGGTTCTTAAGCTTTGTGACAGACTTGAAGCAAAAGTGGTTACAGATGATGAGCATGTTTGGATCACCGTTTAAAGACCCAAACGTGCCTAGGAATCTGTGAAATGAAGGTTTGAAGCTCATTTGTGATTTTTTGCTCGTTTAGATCAGCGTTATTAGAAAAGCTCAAAACCAACTTATCACCTGATAAAGCCAACACTACTTTTTGTTACTTTTCCCATGTTAGCGTCGCCATCCGGTGTTAAGAATTTTCACATGCCCATCTTCTCCTTCACACATATCATTTCTCTCTCCCTCTCTCTTCATGAATAATAAAGTTCCTGTTACTACTATTTTTATTTCATTTTTAGTCACTATTATTTTTATAATTAATATTCTATCCCCAAAAAAATAAAACAATTCACTAATTAAAAGTTATAATTTTATTTTCATTTTGATTTTTATGCTTGACTCATCAAAAAAAAAATTATTAAAATTAGCTTTTTAATTAAAATATGACAAGTTATATTTTACAAATTTTTCAATAACACTTGGACTCCTTTTAAGTCATTCTCACAATTAATTTTAATATTTCTCTTAAAATTATTACATTATATACATATAATATAAATATGTATTATTTAATATAATTCATATCTTTTTAAGTTATTTTACATCCAAACTTACTTTTTCATTAATTATCCAAACAACTTTTAACTTTTCCAACTGACTTTTTATAAACACCTATCCAAACTTAAATAACATTGCACTAACTGACTTTTACTCTAACTTTAGTTACAAAGTCAGTTAGACTAGAAGTCAGTTTTACCCACCACCAATCCAAACATACCCGATGGAAACTCTAAAAGCAAAAGAAACTCTTTTGTATTTTCAAAGTTTTGCCAGTTCATTTATGAAAGATTGAAAAGCCCTGTAAATATTACTTTTTTTCCCATAAAGGATTTCAAAGATTAAGGTTCGAGTGGGTGAATATAAGTTTGATTGAAATCCTTTCCTTTTTTTTTTTTCAGGTTGCATATTTTTAAAAGCTTTGTGGCAGAATTGAAACTCTAAAAGCGCCAAAACACTTTGAAGATCAACAAGGCGAAACGCTTTCAAATTGATCCTCTGCTTCAGATTCTCTGTTTCCTATCATCAAAGTGTTATCTATCGATCATCTTTTGTTTTATTCACCACTGGGGGTTTATTCATGAGAAGCTCATGTGAGTATCAACTTTTTCCCCCCTTAAAATGAACAATCTACTAATTTCAATGTTTTTAATTTAATATGATCATCATATGAAGCTTCAAATGAATAGAAATATCTTGTTTTTATATTCACAGTTTACTTGTAGAGCACAAAACTAAAATTCGGCTTAACAGTTTTTCCCCCTTTTATTGGATATTACTTTTTTGCCCCCTTCTTTTCAGTGATTTGATCTAAATTTCACAAGCAGAATGTTATTGGCTTTCAATAAGCAGAGAAATGGCTAAATGTTTCTTGAATATGTGACATCTTAGGTAAGGCATTTTGTTAAAACTATTACTTTTTAATTATTGTTATTGAAAGTTTTCAGGTGTTTTAATGAATCATTTGAAAATAGGTGAGGGAACTAGTTGAATTGCTCTGTTTTGGAGAAAGGAGTTATATGAGAAGCAAGGAAGGCAGGTAAGAAAGGTAATTCAATACTCCCTGATTTACCTCATTTTAAATATAATATCTATAGGAACCACTTAAGCTAATTCAAGAGTTATTTGGTAAAAATTATCAATATGTCATCAGAAAAGAAGCATTACTTTGTTGCTCACTTTATATGTTGGATTGAAATTTTGATTATTTCTGGTGTTGTGCTTCTTCAGGTCTCAACATTAACGGCTTTGTGGGTACTATGCAACTAACAATTGTCATGAGGCAGAATTGAATTTCCTCTCAATTGTAAACTACTTTTTGCACATTTTGTATTAGTTTGGGCTGAACTATGTAAAACTCTGGTCACCAATTATGAGTAAGCTATGTAAAAATTATAGAATTGTGATTTGTAAGAATTGTAGTTGAGCTCGTAGCAAAATTTACTGGGATTGTAATTGGAGCTTTATAGTGAAAAAAATCTCGAGTAGTTTTCAAGAGGATTGGATGTAGGTCAAGGAACCGAACCAGTATAATTCTTGTGGTGCCTTTTCTCTCTTCCCTTATCTCTAATTTATCACTAAACTATATTTAGCTGCTTGTTTCATCTAACACACAAGCACCATCACAGTTTTTTAAATTAATTTAATCAAAGCATAATTAAAACTTATAGTAAACAGAAATATTACCTATACAGAACCTATGTTATTTAAAATAAAATAAAATTTTCGGTAGCTAGCGGACTAGAAATTCATAAAAAAAGGAATTTAGTAAAATTATAGCTATCATCAGCTTCATATTATCGTATCTTCTATTACCGTTGTTTTGATTTATTATATGCACATTATCTTGAGAGTTTGTGAAAAACTATTGTCCCACATTAAAGAGATTTCCTTCTCAGGATCTTTGAGTTTGAAACTTAATTGGTTAGATTAAAGTTGTACTAAGTAAAGTTGTGAAGCATCTTTGGAAGCTAACTCATGAGAGCCTCATCTGAGTTTAAATTGTCCTTTTATACTGCCTCATCATCTTCCAATCTAGCCAGGCCCTTTTCCTTTGGACTCATTACAGTATCCAGCTTTTGTCCAGCAGAGGTGAACTTTTTGAGACATTCAGGGAAGAGGCATGTTGTACATATACCCCAATTGATTCCTAATAGAATTTAAAAAAAAAACTTTGAAAAATAAATATGTTAAATATGACTAATTGGGAGTATGCTAGGAGTAGTGTTAAATTCTTATTTATTTTTCATTCAAAACACTCCTAAAATTATTTAAAATCCTGTTCTTCATCATTACAAGTAATTGATATATCATCTTTCCTAATATATATATTTTCATCCTCTATTACTCTTAAAATTAACGAGACTCGGCATTTTTTCATAATATGGTTCAGTTTACTGTTAATGACCATGCCTAGAGGACGTGAAGTTATGTTAAGTACTAGGAAATTTTGATGTGAAGCTTTGAGAACTTTGAAATTAGTTAACTTTTGATGATGTGTTGCTAGAACACTTTTTGGTAGCTTGGAAGCCAAAACTAATTCCGCACGTAAAAATGGGAAAAAGAACAGAAAACATAAACTGCTTGCCG